CGAGTTGAGCGAGTGAGGCCTCCAAATTAGACACCAATTTCTCTGATGATCCAGAGACTTGCATATTGGAAGGCTAAAAAAAAAAAAAATCAGCTCGAAATTAAAATAACAAGAATAAATCATATTCCCCCTTTCACATAACAAGTGACAACACTAGGAAACATACCTTCTCTTTTTCTAAATCAATAACAGGAGTAGTCACATTTTTCTCAACATCCTTTTTGGGAGAACTCGAGCTTGAATTGTGAACAATAACCTCCTGTTTCTCACCAACTACATCATCAGCGATTCCATGCTCCTTAATTTTTGGCTCTTCACTTCCTACCCTCTATTTTTTCACTTTGGGCTTAGAAGAAGCGACATCTGGAATCTCTTCTATGTTGAATTTTCCCTTCAATTCACGCCACTTACTTCTCCCCATGATACCTGCATCAGCCAGCATCACATTGCGTCAGGGTCAATCCAAGATATCTGTAAACGTTACCGACATTATAATTATAACTTACTTTCTAAACCCTCTTGAGGATTCTCTGATCCAGCAAGCATTATAATTAACTTGCTTTCTAAAGGTCGAGGTAGCTTTTGCAAAATTTCTATATCTTCAACTTCGGCCGAGGTTAATTCCAAACCTTCCGTACCAACGAATTTAATAGGCTGAGACTGCCAGTAAAACGGGAATCTCGGTTTCCCATCCACGAAAAACAAACAATCTAAACTTGGATCATTACATACAGACCGAATTTTGAAAAATTCTTTTTTGAAATTTTTGTATGATTGCGTGAATATCCGGAACAATCCTCCCCCCTTTGAACTTGCACTCAATGAAACCCAACCATAGGGTCGCTCCCCTAATTTTATTTGATAAAAGTGCATGAATCTTGGCAAACTTACTTCAATCCCTAATACTGAACATAATATTTGAAACGCACGTAAGAAACCCCAGCTATTTGGGTGTAGCTGACTCGGTGCTATATTCACCTTTTCTAGAAACTCACACTCAAATGGCGTAAACGGCATCAACACGCCCAAATCCTTAAACACACACTTATACATGTACACACTAGGAGATGCACTCGACCCTTCAAAGTACACACGCTCCTCCGCCGCACAAGGTTCTATCACAATTTTCTCCAACACAGGGGGCACACAAAATTTTAAGTGGTGCTGCAAAACACTCACACCCATTAAATCCCCAAACCTACTGCTATACTGACCCACATCACCTCTCACCCATTCATACCCAGATGCCTCTATTATGGGATGAGAGTCCTTCCGATTGTTCCCTCCTCTCTTTCGACCTTTCTCCTCCTCCACTCCAACCATTTTACCTTTGCCTTTGCTACCTTTCATCTCAATCTCACTACAAAACTTGAACCTCAGGAATGTGTACAGACTGTATCCAAAACTTAAACGCAATGCAGCAGGGCTAAGGGAGTACCTGAAATGCCAAAGGCTTTACACACGACGATGATGCTTTCGCGTTTTGCGTCCTAGCACTTCTCTAGAAGCATACAAATGTATGCGCCTTTGTCTATGCAACTCTTTATTGAGATTCTTACACCCCTCCAAAACCCAAGCGTCTCCCCCAAACTTCGCGCCTCCCCGCGTGCCTGTCGTTTTATGTGTCACACCCATTTAATGCCACCCACCGTTTTCACTACACGTGTCCTGAACAGACATAACCTTTCGGCGCCACCTAGCGTTACATTCCCCCAGGAATTAATAGTGTTCAGCTCTTTCACTCTTTCATCACTCAGAGCTTGGGGGGCTTATGTACCAACCTGACTCTAGCCGACCTGAGCCGAGTTCATTGTACCAACCTAACTAGAGCCAACCTCGGCTATACCCACAAATTAATCCACCCCGAGGTGACCTCTTAAGCAAGCCAAGATGACGTCAGAGAATGCTGACATATCATAGAAGGCATCATTAAGATACCTCGGTAAGTTAACGAAAACAAGGACGAGTAACCACCCTCAGAAGATAACCATATGGCAGTTGCACAGTTATTCGGACAACTCCCCACAGGTAATAATATAATGATATGCAAAACTGGAGAACTCAGGCTAACTTGATCGTCGGAGTCCTTTTTGCAGGTACATCCGAGACGCTCAAACAGAGAGACCGAAGAGAAGGAATCCCATCTTGTCAATCAACCTCGTACGCTCTCAACCAAGCCGAGCAGAAGAGATGACTTATCCGAGTTAGGAAGACGACCTAGTTCGTGTAAGTACAGTGACCATTAGCAATCTTTGGTTCTCCCACTTCTTTAAAGTACAAAATTAAACCGTGGTTACACTTCCCTTCCCTTGAAATCTTAAAACTTATAAATAAATAATATATAAAATAAACATATTTCTCCCAAACCAATTATAAATAAAATAAAATACGTAAAACACATTTTTCAAAACATATTTAATTACATAATTAATTCAAATACATATTTTCTCCAAATACTTTCTATAACAAAATAACTTAAAAACACATTTCTCCAATAAATATTTAAAAAATTGTAAATATTTATTATTTAATTAAAAAAACTCATAATAATTAAAAACATCTAAAATATATTATAAAACTCCTTTAATTATTTAAAACATTTTTAATAATTATAGAAAATTTGGAGTGTTACAATAATTGTTGGCCATGTTTGCCTCACACCCTATCCATGTTAAAGGCTCCTTACCATAACACTTCAAGGTTTAGGTAAATGACCATAGTGACCCTCCTTCATAGATTCATACTATCTTGAAAACAAAAAGACATAATGTGAAGAGGTTAAAGACCTTTCTACTTGAATTGTGTGAAGTGATCAGAGACCTCTTTGGATAAATTACGCCTAAGGTAGATACTCCCACACCCAACATTAATTGAGGAGTAAAAGATGTCCCCTTTAGAGCCAATTCTTCCGATGTGATCTAGGTCACATCTAGCATCAAAACTTTCATTAAAACGATGTCAAATTGTGCCAAGCGAGACACCTCTCCCCCAACACGGGAAGTCTAAGACCCCTCCAGCATCTTTGCACCCAACGTGAGCCTTTTTTCACGCCCAAAGCAAATAATTGTGTTCTCACGCTTGATACTACAACAAATTCTAAACTTTGTAGAATTGTGAGTTTCATGATTTGGATTCTCCCAGCACATCCAAAATCCATCAATTCACCACTTTTTCTCAATTCAGTCGGTCAAACAATTAAAATTGTCATATTTAAATTTATCCAATTCAATGAAAAATCGCAAAATTCATGCATAGGGTTTAAGGTTTAATTCACCACTTTTCTCAATTCATCATCAAATTAACATAATCAAATATATGTACAAATTTGGCTAAAACATCACAACACTCGCAACAACAAAGTCACACATAGGTGCCCATAGAGATTCACACATAGACCTAATTATAATGTATTCACTCACATGCTTAGGGATTATCACCTCATACCCCTTATCCCTCATACATACGCATGGATTCAACATCCTCACTTCTTCTTACTTTGACTAATAATCCTAAAACACAAGCACATTATCTAAAGCTTTAGCCACTACTCCGTATTTCCTTTAGTGACCTCCTCTATGTTGTCCTTTACATGTGTTCTTAGGGTTAAAAAAGATGAATAGAAAACATCCAACCCTTATTTTTTTTTATTAAGTTTTAGGCAAATCTTAGAGTCCAACTCAATACATTCCACTTAAAGTCCCTCTTTATTTAATTTAGTTTAATAAAAACAACTTTATATTATAAACTAATAAATTAAATTCATTAAGCTTATAATATAATTTCTTATTATTTTTTATTTCTAAAAAGTATGTTACAAAAATAATAAGATGCAAAATAATAAAATAATATTGCATTCTACTCCAATTGTGATTTTCAACTATTTTTTGAAAATATTATTAGGACTATCAATCATTATCTAATATACTAACAACTAAAAAATTGCTAAAAAAAAGTTACAATAATATATATATATAACTATTTTTCATTATTTTTAACTTTTAACTTTAATTTTTTAAAAATAATGATAATATTACTTCTTTACACATAATTTATTTCATATATTGTACAGGTACATGTACTAGTATTTATTAAAATATTCTAAAGACTCACTTTTGATTCTTATATTTTTGGTCTGTGACACCCTCTACCACACCTGCATAATCAAATAATTATAATAAACATAAAAAGGAAATATGATATTAGAATAACTTCAACTAAATATAGAGAGTATCACATTTGAAATTCAAATGAAACTAAAACAACTTCTAGGTATTACAACATTAAAGAAAGTACGCTTTAAGGGA